TTTTGTTTTTAGAGTAGTTGATAGGTCTGTAAAATCGGATGAGGTTCGATGAAATTGCTCAGGGTCGAGGGTCGAGGGTTGAGGGTCGAGGGTCGAGGGTCTAGGGTCTAGGGTCGTTTAACCGTATTTTGGATAGTGGCCTAACTTTTTTTTCCTTTACGAAAATTGTCTTGAAAACTAAATTATAGCAACTTGCACAAAATGGCCCTTACTTGAGGTTGTTATTTGGATGATCATGATAATATAATGCATATGCATCTTATTAATTGATTAATTATTGGTTTACTAGATAATGAATTATAGAAGATCTGAGAATATGATTTAGTTTGGATATATGTATTTGTTTTTGTAGACAATGGATTGAAGGGGAATCTTGGAAAACAAGCATATCTGGAAGACTGGATTACCACAATTACACCGTTAACAGCAGGAGAGTCTGCATTCAAGGTTACCTTTGACTGGGAAGAGGAAGTAGGAGTCCCAGGAGCATTCATAATACAAAACAATCATCATAGTGAGTTCTTCCTCAAGACTGTCACACTCGATAATGTCCCCGATGAGGGCCGTGTCCACTTTGTTTGCAATTCATGGGTTTACCCGGCCGAAAAATACACCAAAGACCGTGTTTTCTTCGCTAACAAGGTAACCGATGATTTGCGCCGACTCGTTGCAATCTGCCGCACTTTGTGCAAGCATAGTTTACTATATGAATAACGTTCGTGACCGCAATATGTTTGTGCAGACTTATCTTCCAAGCGAAGTACCATTGCCGTTGCGCAAATACATAGAAGAAGAACTAGTAGAATTAAGAGGAGATGGAAAAGGAAAGCTCGAAGAGTGGGATAGAGTCTATGACTATGCTTACTACAATGATCTGGGAGATCCTGATAAGGGTTCGGAATATGTCCGCCCAATTATGGGAGGGTCTACTGAGTACCCTTACCCTCGCAGGGGCAGAACTGGCCGACCACCAAAAGAGACGGGTAAACGATTAACATATGATGCTTTTCTTTTTACTTTTGGTGTAGTCTCTCTGACAACTGTACTAGTTGATCTGCTAATTTGGATATTAACCAACTGATGTTATGATCGCTGAAATTTTTCTGATCCTATAATCTAACAGATCCTAACACCGAGAGTAGGTTACCGATTGTTTCAAGCTTAAGCATATATGTGCCAAGGGATGAACGGTTTGGACACTTGAAGATGTCCGACTTCCTTGCATATGCACTGAAATCTATAGCTCAGTTTATTAGACCAGAGATAGAAGCCTTGTTTGATAAAACTCCTAACGAGTTTGACAGCTTCAAAGATGTGCTTCAACTCTACGAAGGAGGAATTCCGTTGCCTGAAGGTTTATTCAAGGAAATCGGTGACAGCATACCTGCGGAAATGCTCAAGGAAATTTTCCGAACTGATGGTGCACAGTTCCTCCGATTCCCAATGCCTGAAGTGATCAAAGGTAACGATAACATATTGAATTTTGACGCTTACAATTGCCTATGAACTATGATTTCTATTTTCTTTCATGTAACGTGCTAATGGTTTAATGATCTGGAGCAGTGGACAAGACTGCTTGGAGGACTGATGAAGAATTTGCCAGAGAAATGCTGGCTGGAGTGAATCCTGTCAACATTCGCCTTCTTCAAGTAATCTTCATATAAATTTGTCTCTGTGTGTGTGTGTGTGTGTTTTTTTTTATGTTGCAATGCTAATGGACAAAAAAGCAAAGAAAACTTTCGATTGTCATTTTTCTTTCCGTTTTTCTCCATCTTTAATCATATTTGCTTCAAATGAATTGCAGGAATTCCCGCCAGCAAGCAAGCTAGACCCAAAAGTTTACGGTGATCAAACCAGTACAATAACCGAACAACATATAAGGAATAACTTGGATGGACTAACAGTGGATGAGGTAATATCTTACATTCGTTTCCTTTGATAGAAAAACTGATAGTATGCTGGTACGTTGCAATTAGCTGATGTTGACTTAACATCATTTCGTAATAATGAAAATGAATTTTGTTCGATAGGCACTCAAGAACAAAAAGCTATTCATATTAGATCATCACGATGCATTGATGCCGTACCTGAGGAGGATAAACTCAACTTCCAACAAGATCTATGGTAGCAGAACTCTCCTGTTCTTGAAAAGTGATGGAACTTTGAAGATATTAGTGATCGAATTAAGCTTGCCTCATCCCGACGGAGATCAATATGGTTGCATTAGTAATGTTTACACACCAGCTGAACAAGGTGTAGAAAGCTCCATATGGCAACTGGCTAAAGCTTATGTGGCCGTAAACGACTCTGGAAATCATCAACTTATCAGTCACTGGTACAACTCTTTTGAAGAAAAAGGTCTTATTAAAAAGTTTATCGTACATATTGAAATGTGATTTTTCTGATTTTGATTTTGTTTTTCCTTATGTTTTGGTGACAGGTTAAACACCCATGCGGTGATTGAGCCGGTTATAATAGCTGCGAATAGGCAGCTAAGCGTGGTTCATCCAATTTACAAACTTCTGCAGCCTCATTTCCGCGATACCATGTACATCAATGCAATTGGCAGGGGAATCCTCCTTAATGCTCGCGGAGTTATAGAGTCGACAGTTTTTCCAGCTAGGTATGCCTTGGGGTTGTCATCAGCTGTTTATAAAGATTGGATTTTTCCTGAGCAAGCTCTCCCTGCAGATCTCATCAAGAGGTAACACAAATCAACAATTTCCGACTTATTAGCAACTAAAAGTTACTCAAACGAGCAATATTCATTTCTTATTTTAACCACATTGTGTTGCTTTCTATCAATACAGAGGCGTGGCAGTCAAGGATGAAAATTCTCCACACGGTCTTCGCCTACTGATAGAGGATTATCCATATGCTGTTGATGGGATTGAAATCTGGTTTGCAATAAAAACTTGGGTCGAAGACTATTGCGCTTTCTACTACAAGACCAATGAAATAATTCAGACAGACGTCGAGCTCCAATCCTGGTGGAAGGAGCTCGTAGAGGAGGGTCATGGGGACATAAAAGATGAGCCCTGGTGGCCTAAAATGCAGACTTTTGAAGAGCTAGTTGAAACTTGCACTATCCTCATATGGACTGCTTCTGCTCTTCATGCAGCCCTCAACTTCGGACAGTTCTCTTACGCAGGATACCTTCCCAACCGCCCAACCATAAGCCGAAAATTCATGCCTGAGAAGGGAACTCCTGAATACGAAGAGCTGGAGGCCAGCCCTGATACCGTTTTCTTGAAAACAATTACTGCTCAGCTGCAGACTGTACTTGGTATTGCCACCATTGAGATTTTGTCAAGGCATTCCACTGATGAAGTGTATTTAGGGCAGAGAGACACTCCTGACTGGACATCGGACACAGCTGCATTGGAAGCTTTCGATAAATTCGGAAAGAAACTGGCTGAAATCGAGGATCGAATTACAAGTATGAACAATGATGAGAAACTGAAGAACCGAGTTGGATCAGTCAAGATTCCGTACACTTTGCTCTTTCCTACTAGTGAAGGTGGAATTACTGGCAAGGGAATTCCCAACAGCGTCTCTATCTAAACGGGAAGTCTTTCAAGCTCCTATAAATAAAGAATGAAACCACTCATATGTATTGTATTGTATGGGATCAAACAAGCGTGCATTTGACACAATTTGGAATTTAAGAAAATAAACACATCTAATTTCCTACTAGACGTCTAAGAATGAGTACTCAAAAGATCAAATGCCAGAATTATATGTTAAAAGTACAAGTTTTTCCTTTTGGAGTGTATTTGAATTCTTTTCGACATTCACGAGATCAACCGAATGTGTATTTGACACACTTCGGAATTTTAGGAAATAAACACATCTAATTACTTCAGTCTAAGGTAGGAGGGAAAAAGGTACTGAGATGCCATCAATTCTTTGCTACTCGATTTCATCTTATTTACAAGAAAAACCATGAGATTTGAGATGGGTTGGAAGGATAATTATTAGAATATAGAAGGGTACTTTTGTCCGTAGGGTTTTTTGTTTACCCCTTGATTTCATCTTATTTACAAGAAACCCGTGAGATTTGGGCTGGGTGGGAGGGTAATTATTAAAGGTTAGGAGGGTAATTTTGACTCTGACCATATTTCGATATATTTACGGTTTTACCAATCTATTCTAAAGTAGACCCTCGATTTTTCATTATTTACATTTATGCCACCTCAAATCAAGGGATGTGAGAGAGAGACAGAAACGCACCCATTTGGCTTCGATTCCCCTTTCTCAAACCCTAGCAGGCACAACACCATCTCTGGAGTAGCATCGGCTCCTGCTTCCTAAAACCAAAACACACTTCCCCTTCGCAGGTTGGGGACGAGGACGAACGACGAATCCGGACTGAGTCAGCTCGGCCGCCGCCGCAACCCGCTCATCGTCTTCGTTTCGCTTCAAATATCCGAGCTTTTCTACATGTCGGTGAAGTACAAATTTCTTCCATAACTCTCGATTCAACCTCATCTCTTCTCATTCGGTAAGATTATTACACTACTTTTAAGAGAATTGAAACTTGAAAGATTCAAACTTTTGGATGGTCGAGAATCTGGATTTTGTGCAGAAAAGAAAAACAGGGCTGTTCAGTGTTTATCTGTACTGGTTTGTCTTGCGGAATTATTATTTCAAATGAAGCTGTCGGCCAGCTTCTGTTTTTTCCTCCAGTCTGCTGCTTCAATCAGAAAAATGCCAAAAGAAAAGGAAGGCTACTTCTTATCCTTATTTTCTTCCCCAAAACAGGGAACAAACACAAAGATTTTATTTAGCCGAAAGTGAATTTGGCCACATATTCAACAGTTTTTGCAGAAAAATGATGAATGTGCAGCAAAGCAATCAGCGGTATGGGCTGCACTGAGAGAAGGAAGGGGGACAGAAGGGTTGACAGGTTGGAGGGAGAAGTTCGCCGGGATTTAGGGGAGAGGATTTTCGGCAGTGAGGTGCGGGTGGCTGTGGCTGTGGCTGATGCATCGGTCAGAGGGTTGTTGGGGGGACGAGAGGAGGGGGACAAAGGGACTGACAGATTGGAGGAGGGTATGGGTTTTCAGTTTTCAGTTTTTTTCCCCTGATTCTGATTCAATAGGTAATGCACTGTTTTAAGTTCATTGTTTATTGTTTGGTTTGCCATTTGCTTTGTTAAAACTGTCATTGAAATTTTGTTGTTTCACTGTGCTCATTTCTGTGCTTCTTCCTGCTGTTTGCTTCTCTTCCCTCTGTTGGTAGATTGTTTTTCCATTTCTTGGTTCCTTATGTATTTCTTGGTTCCTTAATTTTGTTAGGTGTAATTACTGATACAAATCTCTTTACTGTGTTTGAATACAAACTCTTATTCTCTCTAATTTTTGGCTATGTGATGTATCCTTGCAGGTGAACCATATGGACGTTTTTGAGAAACAGAGAGCTTCGTCCACTGGAATGTGGAATTGATAGCAGCAGGTTAGTTCCCCTTCTTTTTCTTATCTTGATATGTTACGAACAACATGATCAATGGTCGTGATCGTATTGTGGTTTTATCGTCGCTGTAATATGTTTCACCGAAGTCACTTTCCTGTCTTTTGATTGATTCCTGATTGTTAGATGTATTGTGCTACATGACAGCTCAGTGTTTATAGTTTGCATTCATGTCTGCTTTAGAGAGCATGCTGCCAACCAAAATGCCAGAAAACCGTATTGTATGTGAGACCCCAAAAACCTGAGACCAATTTGAGAGTTAATGGAAGCATATGCATGTTTCTACCTTTCCCATGTATCAAAAATGTCATTAGTAGTTCTCCAGCTATCTCCTTCTTTAGCACCCCATAACCAATTCCCTGCAAAGAAAGTGCGTGAGCATTTCAAGATTCTCTGACAACATATCATCATTGGAGATGTTGATTGACTGAATTGATTACAACCATAGATGAAAATATCGATAATATAACGATATTTCGCGAGTATTTCTTTAATTATCGCTATAATATCGCGAAAATATCGATAGTATCGCAATATTATAGATAATATCGCGAGATGCTTAATTTGAATTTCTGAAGTCTCCATGCACATAAAGGGATTCGAACTCCTCCCATCTAACTCCTTCAGCGCCTTGACCACTATATCACTTACGTTTTTGTGAAAACATGCTAAACTATTTATATATATATTTTGTTTTGAAATTTTTTGCAAGAAAACAAATTTGCACATATTCCAAATTTTTTTTGTGGTATTATATTTTAAATTGTGTCAATTAATTACTTAGTCAATGGCATGTGTTTTATTTTTTCTTTTTTATTTAGTCCCTTACATGTATGGTTGGAAAAAATTTCAAAAATCCCAAAAACCAAACCCGAAAAGTCCAAACCAAAACACCCCGAAAAATACCGAAATTCCTATGATATGTTTCGGTTCCCAATCATTTTTTGGTAATCCCGAAATCCGAAAATACGAAGATGATCGTTTCCTAATTGACTTTTTGGGTTTCGGTTCTTGAAAGTCATGCATTGTGTTGCTGACTACTCTTCAATAGTTTTTACTCTAACATAGAGATGATGAATAGTGAAATTTTCTAGAACCTCTAGGAACTCTATTGTGGTGTTAGTCACTCATTGTATTTGTATCATGCTAAATTCATTTAATTGTAACTAATTCTAATTTTATATATAAAATTATAGACATACTTCTTTCTAAACTACTCACCATTTTATTTGACAGCTGCCTATTATAATCAATATTAATTTTTTCAGTTGTAATCATAAATAATATAATGCCTAAAAAACCTGCAAAGTTTCCAATTTCATTCAATTTAATTTTTTTGTAATTTTAATCAAGATAATTTATCCGAATATTTCCAAGATTCCGATATTTTCAATGGGATTACTCGACATTATAAATTTTGTTCCATACAACAATAATCCCTTTTTCCAACTACGTTGGGTCGGCTATGACAGTTCCATAAACAAGATTAAATAATAAATATGGTTTCAGGTCTTTAGGTATTGAGATTCAAAGTTTCAGGCCATGTCGATTATAGCCCAAGTGGGTTGGAATCTCCTTGGAGATTTGATCAAATTCAATATCAATTTTTTTCCCAATTGGGAAGTAATGAATATTGTGTCACCTGATGGCAGCATTATAAATGGTAACATACAGCTTAAATATTCATCACGTTAAGGTTTTCATGGTTATTCGAGAAATATCATATTTAGATCACTATAATTATTTATATAGTACTGACTGGGCTCCAATTTTAAATGATAGGTCAATCCCCAATTTTTATGACAGCCTTCGCACTTGGGATACACTTTCAAGTGATCTTGAGGGTCCTCGGGTAGGATGTATTATATCTTTCCAGTATAGACTGAAGAGTGTTTCAAAGCATGAAATAAAAACAATTTGGCTTTTGGTTTTTCCTCATGAACATAGAACGATGATTACATTATATAGTGTTTTTATTCGGTTAAGTCCGTTTTTTCACCGCTATTTTTACTAGTATACTACTAAACCTCTAAAAATAAATACTCAAAAAGATTAAAAACCCGTTGGGTGAACTCTCCCAATTTGTTCTCTTGTATTAAAGGACAATGCATAATTAAACAAATAAAAAAAATTAAAGTGTTAAAAAAACATGAAAAAGAATATGCAGAAATCACTTTCCGTCTCCCATGACATGCATGCCAAAGACTTCATTGATAATTCGTCAGGCCCACTGCCTACGTGTACAAAAGAGAGAAGATATAACGTGATTAATAGATGTTGATCGAGAATCTTTATTCTAAAATTTGACTTGAAAAGTCTTTGATGATCATATGTCGCACTTAAATCTCAGCAATTTCCAGTTAGAGAGAAACACACACAACCACGCATATGACATATCTATAAACAAGAGCCGAACAGCGTATTCATTCATACAACCCCAGCAACAAATTAACACCTTTATACCATTTACCATACTATGATTATATCAAATTTCATCTCTCATCTGTACCTTTCCTTGTTTCTACACATGATCATTGCCACCACACTCGCTGCCACCGATCCCCCACCTATCTACACTCCGGTGGAAGATATCACTGTCCATTGTGGCTATTCCGGCCAGTTATTTAATCAATATGATCAACGAAATTGGAGTGGAGATATCAACTCAAAGTTTACCCCCATAGAGGTACACCGAGCAGCTGGTGGTAACACATCCATGTTCAAAGAAGCACCTCGCTCGTTCTCTGTCTCCCAAATTCCTTACAGCACAGTTCGGCTTTCTCGCTCTGAATTTACTTACAGATTTAACCTCACCGCCGGAAAGTTCATCCGCTTGTACTTTTACCTTGTTTCGTACCCTGACTTTGACCGCTCCAAAGCGCTCTTTTCTGTCAAGGCAGTGATTTTTTACCTTCTCGACTTCAATGCTTCTGTGAATCCCGATGCTGATGGGGTGGAGACATTATACAGAGAATTCTGCATCAACATTGAGGAAGAAGAACAAAGTCTAAACATCACATTCACTCCAAGTCGAAGCAAAGCAAGCCCAGATGCTTATGCGTTTATCAACGGAATTGAAATTGTGTCCATGCCCCCAAATCTATACTACACTGCACCAGAAGACCTTGATATTGAAATCATAGGCACCGAAAATCCAATTCGCGTTGAAAACAACACTGCTATGGAGACGGTTTACAGAATCAACATAGGCGGGCGGTTGTTTTTCAATAAAAGACACCGCATGTACCAACTGGGAACTATTTGTATGAGCAAACTTTCTTGGATAATGCAAGTTTTTGGTTCAGCGCTCAACCAGTTAACGCAAGCCTTCATCTCAACTTTCATCTCAACTTTGCAAAAGCACCCAACTACTCCGCTCCGGAACAAGTTTACAAAACCGGGAGGTCTATGGGCCCAGACCCCACCATCAACCAGCGGCACAACCTCACCTGGGGATTTCCTGTCCCTCCCAAGTTTTATTACCTGGTTAGGCTTCATTTTTGTGAGCTTCAGCCTGAAATTAGAGAGATTGGTGACCGAGTGTTTCTGATCTACATAGCCAATCAAACGGCGGAAACACGAGCCGACATAATCCAGTGGAGTGGCGGGAATGGGATTCCAACGTACAGAGAAATGTTGTTTCTTCAAGGCCCGGCCCCCGAACGAGGAAGACTAAGCAAGCCTTGAACATTGGAAGACGCTTCATTTTGAACGGGCTGGAGATCTTCAAACTGAATGAAACAAATGGTAATCTCGCCAGACCAGACCCCGATCCCCCACATCCTCATCCCCAAGAAGTGATCCCATCAAGCAAAAATCTTTCCAAGTCAAGGACTCATTTTATTGCCGTTGTTGCTGGTGCAGTCTCCGCCGCACTCGTAGTGTTTTCCGTACTAGGGTTACCCTTGGTTTTTAGACACCGACGGAAATATGTCAAGGGCTACGTACACTCTAACCGCAGAGCGGCAAACTCAACCAAGTCACGGGGCGGCTCAACTCTGCCGTCCGATTTGTGTCACTACTTTTCGCTAAAGGAGATCAAAGCCGCCACCGAAAACTTCAATGATACTTTCATTATTGGTGTTGGCGGATTTGGCAATGTGTACAAAGGGTATATCGATGGTGGGGCTACCCCGGTTGCGATCAAACGACTGAAACCCGAGTCTTCACAGGGGGCCAACGAGTTCAAGACGGAAATCGAGCTGCTCTCCCAACTCCGCCACCGTCATTTGGTGTCTCTCATCGGATATTGCACGGATAAAAATGAGATGGTCTTGGTGTACGATTACATGTCACGTGGGACCCTGGCCGACAATCTCTTGGGGACCAAAACGCCTCCAAATTTGCATTGGAGCCGCGCGAGGGTTGCGCTACCTTCACAGCGGTGCCAAGGGCACTATCATCCACCGTGACGTGAAAAGCACCAATATATTGTTAGATGAGAAATGGGTGGCCAAGGTTTCGGATTTCGGGTTGTCAAAAATGGGAATGACCACCGCTTTTAAGACTCACATCAGTACAATGGTCAAAGGCAGTTTTGGGTATCTAGATCCAGAATACTACAGACGCCAACAGCTTACTGAGAAGTCTGACGTGTACTCATTTGGTGTGGTTTTGTGGGAAGTATTGTGTGCAAGGCCAGCGCTGATGCATAAAGTGGAGCCGAGGGAAATGAACCTCGCGGAGTGGGCCAGATTTTGCCATGGAGAGGGAACACTTGATCAAATCATTGATTGTAACTTGAAGGGTAAAATTGAAGCCGAGTGCCTGAATAGGTTCGTTGAGATTGCTATGAGTTGCATTCATGATAAAGGAGTTGAACGACCTTCAATGAATGAGGTTGTGAGGGGGCTTGAGTTTGCATTGCAGCTTCATCAAAAAAGCAATGCAAGTAATGGTGATGGTGGCGTTAGTACTGAACAAGGTTGTGCTAGCAATGAATCCATTCAATGTATATCCGCAACAATCTTCTTCTGAAATTAATGATCAAAACGGAAGATGACGCGAGCAACGTTTGGCCAGAAAGCAATTGTATTTCAATACAAAACTAATTCAAGAGAATTATGTTCCAATTGCATTCTTTTTCACTGTACTCAGTACTAAACTGCCCGAATCCGATACGATTAGTTTAGACTTTGTACACTCCTGTTTTTTTAGTTTTTCCAATTAAACAAATCAAAAGAAAAATGAAAATAAAAGGTAATGTAAGTGTACAAAAAATAAAAAATACAAAAATTCACTTCAGATCCAATTGATGACAAGCATGCCAAAAAGACTTTGACATATTTCGTCCAATACCTACGCGATAGAAAAGATAGCCAGACTGATGTATTTCTGAACAACTATCAATAGCAATAATTAGGGAAGTGTAGTGGCTGAGGAGAGGTTCATCATTCGAGACACCAAACAAGTTGATTTATCCTCGCTGTGGATTTAACCAAAAAATAATAATTAACGACCATACCTTATATGCTTGATATCATTAGGTTCTCTCCAATTGAAGAGGCTAAAATCTTAAAATTTAGCTCCTGTTGTAAACATTCCTAGAATAAGTATGATTGTGTAAAACTGATTTAGATTGATTCTAGTCTATCATTTCCTATTACAATTTGTATTACTTGGAGAGGGAAAGGAATATCTTCTCTCCCTTTACTATTATAAATAAAGGTAACAATGTGGAGGGATAACAACACAGCCATTCCCCTAATTCCTAAACAAAAACTCTCTCTCTCTCTCCACTGCCCGCCGCCCTCTCTATTTGTCAATAAAAATAGACCACCAACGTTATCAAACACGCTCCTACCGCTGCGCTGTAGGGAATATACGTTGGATTTTTTCTTTCAAAACATTCAACTATTTCATCCATATATCACGCAATCAGTTCTTCCAAAACAACGGTTTTTAACTCGATATTTTCAAGCCCTGATAGCATGAACATTCACCATGATGCATGAACCTTACGTTTAAAGTTTTTAGATTCTACATAAATTGTGTATGCTTCATAAAAAAATTCTACAATTATGTGAATTTGATTTTGCCATGAATTGAATTTACTATGTACATGCATTGAAACTATTATTTGCATATGTATCAACGTAAATATATGATTCTTAAGATACATGCATATATATAATTGAATAAAAATAAAAATATAAAATAAAATATAAATTTTTGCGATTGGGGAATTAGGGTTATGTTCGAACCCGTGCACTTGCACCATGCAAGCCACAAGCCACCAGGCCCGCAGCCTGCGATGGCCCAACTCATCCCCATGCTTTCCCGAGTCGAGAACCAATCCTGGAGCCACGGCTCCAGGCCCAACACCCAGACCCGACGCCCAGAAGGCGTCGCCACCCATGAAAACGTCAACCAACATGGCCTGCAGCCATGGTCACCATGACTCAAATCGAGTCTTAAACAACACCCCGACCGACGCCAGAAGCGCCAGGTCCGGTGTTCTTCTCCGGCGACACACACCCAGCACTCGCTGGGGTGTTTAATCCCAAAAACCCGAGCCCTAGTGGGCTCCTGTCCCTCGACCTGCATCAGAGCCCTTTGGGCTTGCTGCTGCTCTGAGATGTCACGGTCCAGCCCGTGCGGGAAAAGAAAAAAAAAACAAAATTTTTTTGGCACGCCTGAAACGACCCGTGAGAAAAAAAAAAGAAATTTTTTTTTTTTGGGCTGCACACAGCAGCCCATTCCCCTTGCCCATGTCTCCCCGTGAGCTCCATGTGCCACCTGTGGGCTTTGCCTATATTTTTAGGCCCCGAGATTTTATTATTTAATATTTTTAAATAATATGGGTTTTTATATTTTCACCCACACTTTAATTTGGCCACAAAGACCAAATAAATTAATTCAATTATCATTATACAATATTTTTGCATATATTTGTTGCATATTTGTTTGCATATATATTTGTGTTT